ATTTCGGCTCAACCCTCACACGTTCCGTGGCCCTATAAGGAGCTCCGCGAAAGGCCTCAACGGCGCATGCGCCCGCCGCACCCATTTCGGCACACGCCTCACACGTTTCGTGGCCCCATAGGCAGTTTCACCCACTGTCCCAATGACGGTGTTCGCATGCGTCCGCCCATACATTCCCAGCTCACAACTCACACGTTTCGTGGGCCCATAGGGAGCGCCACCGAAGGCTCCAGTGGCAGTGTTCGCATGCGCCCGCCCCGCCCAATTCGGACATCCCTCACACGTTTCGCGGCCCAATTGAGAGGTCCAGCCTACCGAAGGCCCCACTGGCTGTGTTCGCACGCGTCCGTCCCACACATTTCGCTATACCCCTGACATTTTCCGTGGCCCCATAGGGAGACCCATCGAAGGCCCCAAGAGCTGCGCTCGCATGCGCTTACCGCGTCAATGTCGAAATATTCCGCGCATGCTTCGTGGCCCCATCAGGAGCTCCACCGAAGACGATACTCACAACTGCGTCACTCACAACCGCAGACGGTTGGGTCATTTGCCAGGCTAATTGTCTTTGTGTTGTCGAATGATTTTGGTCGCCTGAAAGCTGCTTGAAGCTGCTTGGGAGCCTTTTTTGGCCGTCTGGGGGCCATGTTATGCTGTCTGGGGCTGTGTGGAGGCCATCTGGAACTGTCTTGGAAGTCGGCGGTCTCGAGGGCCGTCTCGATGCAATTTTCGACCGTCTCGGAACGCTCTTCAAAGGACTTGGGAGCTCAAGTCAACCGTCCTGGGCATTCCTGGAGCTCTTCGACGGCCGTTGATGGACGATCCTGAACCCTCAGAGGCTCGTGGAAGCAGTGATGCGAGATCTGGGATAACACGTGTCCCTCAGACTTTTGACGGATTTAGCCTCCTGGGGGCCCCTTGAAGAGCCGAGTATGAGCCTCTTGAGAGTCTCTGTGGGCCGTCTTGGAACCATCTTCAGGTTTCTCGGGAAGTCCGGAGGCCATCTCAGGCTGTCTTGGCGGGTTCCTTTGCCGTCCTGGGGCCCTCGGGGGCCGTCTAAGGGCCATCTTGGAGGGCCCCCAGGGCCCCAATCCAACCATAGAGGTTTGAGGCACCTAGTTTGGGCCCCCAAAACTCCTACGCCGCACTAGACATATATGTACACACGTGCACACGTACACGCATATATATATATATATATATATACATTTGCATACATACATATACATATACATATGCATATATACACATACGTAGGGACTTTCACTTCTGTCTGAAAAACTGAGCCTTGTCTTCGGTTTGGCGGCTATATGACCGCCGTCGCCGTCCCGTCGCCGCCTCGTCGCCGCCCATCGTCTGGGCCGTGGCTTCGGTCTGGCGGCCAGGTGGACGCCGTCGACGGCATGTCACCACCTCGTTGCTGCGCCTGTCTATCGGTCTGGCGGCTAGGTGGCCGCCGTCGCTGCCCCGTCGTCGCCTCGTCGCCGTCCTAGTTTCTCGCTTTTCGAAGCAAATAAAGTCTACCCCCCTGGGGTTCTCGGTACCTTTCTTAGTATTGCAATTTGCATATGGTTGTGCTCCATCGTCCATCTTAAATCTGAATCCGTACCGCCCCAACCCAACCAATATCGAAATTTCTTGGTGCCCGGACAAAACACCTGGACGACACAACCCGAATGGAGGTGCCCAAGGTGCCTGCATGAATTCACATGTAATCGGACCTCGCAACATGAACGGCGGCACAAACCCGCCCCAGGCGTCACATCAGCGCCGCAATTGCGAAGTGCCCCGGTATGCCACCGAGACACGGCCACCAACACCACCCCCATTTCGCCGCCGGCCCCAAGCACTGGAGACTCCGCAAAACCAGCAATTTTCATGAATCCGCTGCCAAAATTAAAACGACGTGCGCACGCGCGCGTTGTCGCGCGCGCAAGCCGGAATCCTTCGAAAACCTTCGGCTGCGTAGAGATTTCAAAATTGCCTGTCCCCCAAAACTTAGAAAACACATGGTTTCGCAACGCGGGTTTTCAAAACAAACAGGCGCGCGCGTTTTGGCGAATTCTCTGGAAACCACGCGTTGTTTCCCAACATCTTCGCAAATACGGGGCTTCGCGCGCGCATGTCAAAACCGTTCGAATGCCCTTGCGCACGCGCCGTCGCGAGAATCCTTCTGCAACAAATGAGACGACGTGCGAACGCGCGCGTCGGAGCGCGGGCATGCCGAAATCCTTGAAAACCCCCGGTGTCGTAACGATTTCAAAACCGAATGCCCAAGACAACATTCAAACCCACACGGCTTCGCAACATCACTTTTGAAAAACACTTGCGCGCGCCCTCTTGCGTATTTTCTTATATAACAAACTAGTCATGCAATGTGTGCCAAACGGGCCCCTGGCGTCGCATGCCGACATCATTCGCGCGCCCTTGCGCGTGCTGGGGGGCACGGTCCGTGCCAAATGAAACCACGCGGGCCACCCTCGCGCGTCGGCCGCGCGCGCATGTCGAACTCTTTCCAAAACCTTCACCACCGACGCGAAGACGCCGTCATCGTCGTCGGCGCGATCAGCTTCGGCGCCCGCACGGGCCGCGCCTTCGTCGGTGCGAACATCATCACCAACATCGCCACTATCATCGTCGTGTCTACCGTTGTCGGCGTTGCTACGATGCCGCGCCCAGCGGTCAGCGCCACCGCGGCCGCGTCGGTGGCGCCAAATTACATAGCCCGCCGCTGCGCGCGCGTGCGTTGGCGCGGCCGCAAACACGCACCAGCCAACGCCAAGCATGCATCGCAATCGCCACCGCGTGGGTTTTGCAAAACAATTGGCGGGTGGGTGGGTGGGATGCTTGCAAGAACGTGGGATGTGTCAACTCGTTTGTGAAAATCAACTGCGCAACATCACTTCTCTTTGCTACAAAAAAACCACCACATTCCCGAAACCGAGGTCAACGGTACACCGTTTCGCGTTGCATGTTACTTATGATTCTTCCCCATCGTCCATCCTAAATATGAACTCGTCCCATCCCAGCTGAGCCAGAATCGACCCCCCCGCCATCCTTTGCAAAACGTTGGATGCGCGCGCACTCGTTCATCAACACATCATTTTCCAATTTCCCTTGCGACAAGAAAATGAACTGCACACGCGCGCGTCGTCGCGCGCGCATGCCGGAATCCTTCACCAATCTTGGGTTTCGTCGTGGTTCCCGAATCGTGTTTCCAAACAACATATGAAAACACATGGTTCCGCAATCGCGTTTTCAAGAAAGGCTTGCGCGCGCACTCTTGAGCGCGTTTTACACACAGGGCCACGAATTTCAAACATGTTCACAACATTCTACCAAACGGGCCTCGCGCGCGCGCGCGTCGAAATCTTTCGGACGCCCTTGCGCGCGCGCTGCCGCAAAAACTATTTGCAACACATGAGACGAAGTGCGCGTGCATCGTCGCGCGCGCATGCTGCAATGAGTCAGAAACCTTCGGCAAAACAAATATTTCAAGACCGAATGTCCCCGCACCCATTAACAAAAAACACGCATGGTTTCGCAACATCAGTTTTTGGTTTTCTAATAAAAAAGCGTGCACTCGCGCTGTTACGAATTCAGTTGTCATATACGAAACATGTTTTCAGCATTGTCATGGAATTCTAGCAAATCGGCCTCTCGCGCCGCATGCCGAAATCGTTCGAAGGCCCTTGCGCGCGTGCTGCGGGGGCTCGGCACGTGTCAAACAATACCATGCGGTCGCTCTTGCGCGTCGGACGCGCGCGCATGTCGAACTCCTTCCAACAACCTCCATCACCCATCACCAACGCGAGGACGCCGTCATCGTTTTCGGCGTGATCATCATCGGCGCCGTCACTTGCCGTGCCGCCGTCGCTTTCAGCATCGACACCAGCATTTTCTTCGTTGGCTACAGTTGTCGACATTGCTGTGATACCGCGCCCGCCCAAGTCGCCGACTCGCAGTGAAGTGTCCGGTGGGATGTGCCCAGCGGTCAGCGCCATCGCGGCCGCGTCGGTGGCGCCCAATTACATAGCTGGCCGCTGCGCGCGCGTGGATGCGCGGGTTGGCGCGGCCGGGGAGACGCACCAGCCAACACCAAACCCCAAGCACTCACCGCAATCGCCGCCGCGTGGGTTTTGCAAAACAATTGGCGGGTGGGTGGGTGGGATGTTTGCGCGAGCGTTTGGACAACTCACTGCGAACAGGAATTCGTTGCACCGCACAGATTGAACCACGAAGTTTGCACCGCATATGTTGCACCACATAAGTTGCACTACGTAGTTTGCACACCATAAACTACACCGCAAAGATTGCACTACGTGTGTTGCACCACGTAGTGCACAACATGAATTGCGCCACATCGGTTGCACAAATTTATTGCGCCACGTAGATTGCACAACAATTCTTGAACCAAATAGATTGCGCCATTTAGACTGCACCGCATAGCTTGCACAACAGACATTGCACCACGCAGAGTGCACAACACATATTGCACCACATATATTGCATCAACTAGATTGCACCATACAGGTTGCACATAACATAAATTGCACCACAAAAATTGCACCATGCGTGCTGCACCGCATAGCTTGCACAACACATGAAGAACCGCATACATTGCAGAACATCGAATGCACACCATGTATTGCACTACGTAGGAGTGCACAACCTATCATGCACCACCTGCTGAAAACACACTGTTTGGGGCACACGCCGAATAACATATAACATATACACATCAAATTTCACATGGGAATTCGTATGCTACCTAGAGGCCTCCTTGATGGGGTCCGAGTAGATGGGGTAGAAGGATCGCGCCGCATCGCCGATACATCGGCGATGCATCGGCGACGTCGGCGCGAAGAAAATCGGGCTCCGCATCGAGCCGCATCGGCGATGCATCGGCGATGCGGCGCGATCCTCTGACCCCATCTACCCCGACCCCATCTGGGAGGCCTAGAATGTAATTACACATGGAGATCCGTATGGCTGCCGCAGACCTCCACCGACTCGCCGGGCCGCGAGGCGAGCGCGAGCAGCGCGCCCACCGAGACCGAGAAATCGGCCTGGTCCTGCGGCACGATCAGCGCCGGGCACAGGGGCCCTGGCAGCGCGACGCCGCCGGCGCTGGCACGCGCCTCCACGGGGGAGGAGGAGGAGGAAGAGGAGGATGAGGAGAGAGAGGAAACAGAAGAAAAAGAGAGAAGCCGGCCAGGAGAGACCGGGCGTGACGTCTGAGCTTCCGCAAACAGCGCTTGCACTCAGGGGATTTCACTTGGGCACGATCAAAAACGGGTCTTACGCGAGATGACGCAGCGACCTTACACGGTGGCTTACGCGGGGCGCCGGTGCGGCACACCACAATGGAGCCGAGGGCGCTTGCGCGCGACCTTACGCGGGCAGCTTAAGAACCAATGTCGACCCCGTTTTTTTTTGCGTCGCTCGCTTGCTTCCCTGAGGAATGGGTTGCCGCTGGGTGGGTCCAGCGAGATTTCGCCACGCTGCCGCCTCTTGCCGCTTCGTCGCGCGTAACGGTTGTGACCAGGGTCAGACCCCTCCCCCCCTCCCTGGGCAACGGTATAACGATCGCGCATAGGAGGGGGGTGCTGGACTCGCCGATGCTGGTGCTCGCGCGCCCACTATGGCGATCGCAACGTACCCCCGCCCCCCGCCACAATGCGCCCCACCCCGACCAAACGTTACCGCTACCCCGGGCCCCGACCTCCACCCAACCCACCTCAGATAACGACCGTTACCGGCAATAATATAAACAACTCATGTGACGCACAGAGACATACTAATACCATACGCCCTCCTTGGAGGCGCGCGTCCGACCCGAGCTTATAGTATACCCATCTGGTAGTATATCGTTTCTCGAGCGGTGTGGCCAGAAAGCGTCTGCAACGACGCGTATACTACAAGATTTCTCGGTGCGCGCGTCGCCCCTGGGGGGGGGGGGGGCGACGTACATACAGTATAAAAATGTTGGGGTGACGCCGATATCAACCGAGCGTGACATCTGAGCTGCATGTCCCCGGACCTGCTCGCGTCGAGCGAAATTCACGGCGGACGGCTTCTGGCCGTCTTCGGCTTCTGGGGACCGTCCAAGGACGGCTCGGGATTGAGACGCCGGGACTTCCGCCAACCAAACGGGCCCTGGTTCTGTGGAGGAGAGGGAAGGTCTGTACGGGCACTGCATGCACCTACCCTGGCCAGGACCATCCTGGGCCAGGGCTCGGTGCACACGCCCTCCTGTCTCGGCACGACCAGAGCCGGCGCATGCGCATACCTCTCATCGCCTGAGCCTGGCCCCAACGGCCTAATCACGTCTTCGGGTCGACGCCTCGCAGCTACTCGCGCGCAGCATGTAGCACGGCCCCAGCGAAGTGCCGCAGTAGCAAAACAATGATGGGGTCCGAATACTATTCTGGTGCGGCCCCGGCGGGGTCCAAACAATCCGCCACCACCGAATGGAGCATCCGGAAGTCTCTGTGGAATTCTATCGACTAATGACCAATCGTAAAAAAGTCCCAAGGACCCCGATTTCCTGGCACTCCCAGGGCTCCCCGCTTGCCTCTTTGGAGCCCCAGGAGGCGGTTGCTGAGAAGAGAGCGAGCGGACCACCGATGCGGAGCGCTCCTCTGGGCCTATGTAAGGTTAGGTCGGGCCTGTCCCCCTACAGGCGGTCCCCAGACTATGTTTTGACTATTTTTGGATCTTCCTCCTGTAGAGGGACAGGCCCGACGTAAATCTAAGGCTAAGCGTGCGAGGCCGTGGCGTTGTGTATGGAAAACGGTGCCGTTGCTCCCTGGAGACCTCTCCCAGGGTGGCGCTCTGACCAGAACTTCGCGGCGAACCCAGTGGTGGCGACGAGGGCCTCCCGGGAGGCGCAGCAAGGCGAAAGCGATGCAAGGGCAGCGGCGTCGATACCTTCCCCTCCTCTTGCCAGGGCCATGGCGAGCCGAGCCCCCCGAAGCCTGGGCCGCTTCCCCCCGGACCCGTTCCAAGCCCCAGGCCTCACGTCGGGCGTCGGCGAGCTCAGCGTTGGAGCGCATCGCAGACTCCTGCCCTCTCTTCCTCGGTTCTCTCCTCACTTCCCCACATTCCCCCCACAGCAGCCCCTCTCTCGTGTGCATTCCCTTGCCCACTAAATCCCCCCCTCCCATAGTCTCTCCCCGCTGACGCATCCCTCTCGTGCTTCTCCTGATCATCCTCCGTGTCCTCCTCATGCTCTTGGTGGTTCTGCTCATTCTCTCCTCCTCCTCCTCCTCCTCCTCCTCCTCCTCCGCCTCCTCCTCCTCCGCCTCCGCCTCCTCCGGCTCCTCCTCCCGCTTCTCCTCCCCCTCCACCTCCCCCTCCACCTCCTAATCCTCCCCCTCCTCCTGGCCACGGGGTCCCACTCTTGACGAGCCGAACAGCGAGCTGGACCGACCTCTTCACCCGCGGTTCGCGGCAACGATGGACCGCTCTGGGACACGAGCTCGCGAGACCACTCCAGGCTCGGTGGCCAAGGGGCCTCTTGGGCAAGGAATGGGGCGAGGTGTGGAGAGGCCAAAGGGAGGAAGGGCGAGCGGGGGGAGCGTGCGAGCGAGGGTTACACAAGATGGGCCTGTCTTCCACCACCACCACCACCACAAGTTGGAGGGGGGAGGAGGTCCTCCTCCCCCTCTTCTTCCTCCTTCTCCTCATCCTCCACCTCCTTCCCCCCTCCAACTTGTGGTGGTGGTTGTGGACAACAGGCCCATCAACATAAAAGAGGGGGGAGGGGAGGAGACGGACCCAGCCCGAAGCCGCACTCTGCTCATCACGCGGACCCCCGCGAGTCTGGACCTCTTTCCCCGGGGCGGCCTTCCATCCCGGGTCGCTCTCCGACGGTCCCGGCGGACCGCGGTGGAGCCCTCCCGGAGGCCAGAAACGGCCGCGTGTCGGCGACTCCGAAGGGTGCGGTTTGCAAAGGTGTGGTCTGAAACCCTGGTGATCAGACGAGGGCTCATCAAACCTTTGGCGCAACGTGGTGACCTCGCTAAGCCCCAACGGCGCCGATCGCAAACCACATCCTGGCGTGATGCCTCTCGTCGCGACCTCTTCACGAAAGAAGGGTCGAACGGGTGATAGAACCGGGAGCGAGTTTGGAGGAATTCGGGCGCAGGGTAGCGGACGGTGTGACGGGGTCGGCGTTTTTCGAAGACGCCTTGGACTAAACAATACCCCCTGTAGCATGAATCCCACCAGCCCATCAAGGCGTAGGTGGGTTAGGGCGTTTACTCTTCCAGCCTCCCTCCTTCCCCGTCGGGGACGGGTTTTCCTATCCCCCTCCTCCCTCCCCTGGACCTGGACGGGGCGCTCCGCGACCGGTTGGAGCGTCCAAGAAGGCCTCGCCGAGCAGGCAGAACAAATATTATGTTCTCAGGTTGTTGGCCCATTTTGGCCTCTTGGGGGGGGGGCTGATTTGGGGTACCCCCTTTCTTTGATGGAACTCCTCCAAGACGGCCTCAAGATGGAACCCAAGGTTCCCAAGTGCCCCAGTAGGGCCCCAAGGAACGCCCAGGAGGCCCCAAGAAGCCCCCACGAGGTTCCCAGGAGGCACCCAAGCCGCTTCAAGAAACCCCCGGGACCGCCAAGAGGTCCCCAAGACGACCCAACAGGACCGCAAAAGTTCTCACGAGACATGCGAAGAGACTCCGAGAGGCATCCAACAGGCCTCTGGCCTTTCTGCTGCTGCTGCTGCTGGTGCTGCTTCTCCTCCTCCTCCTCCTCCTCCTCCTCCTCCTCCTCCTCCTCCTCCTCCTCCTCCTCCCCTACCTCCTCCCCTCCTCCTCCTCCTCCTCTCCTCCTCCTCCTTCCTCCTCCTCCTACTCTTCCTCCTCCTCCTCCTATCCTCCTGTCGTCCTCCTCCTCCTCCTCCTCCTCCTCCTCCTCCTCCTCCTCCTCATGCTCCTCCGATTCCTCCCTTCTCCATCCGCCCCTTTCTGGGGTATGACGGTCTCCCCAACCCCTCATTCCACTGCATGGCCCTCCACACCCCTGACCAGCGCAACTCGCCTGTGCACCGTTTCTGGATGGGCTGGTGGGGTGACGCGAAGCGTCTAGAATTGGGCACCATCACCCTGCGGCAGACCCCGCGGGGACCCCACCCACACGGGTTTCCCGCCCGTCCTCTTGCGGGCCGCGCTGCGCCGTGGCCGAGGCCCACAACGGCCCCGGCACGGCCCCCTGCCGCGGGCCGCCGCGGGCCATCGCGGGCGCCGCGGAGCGCCGCGGCCCGCCCAGAGCCGCCACCGACTGCCGCGGGCTGCCGCCGGCCGCCCCCGAGGCCGGCGGCAGGGACGGCCGCGGGCCGCCGCCGGCGGCCACGGCGGACGCCCTCGGCGCCGGCGGCAGGCGCGGCAGGCTCGCCGCGGGTGTGGCCGCCAAGGGCGGCGGCCCGAGGCTCTGGCAGGAGGGCCCCGGGCTGGCGCAGGCCCAGCGCCCGAGGCCAGCAGCGCCGCGGGCGGGCGCGCCGGGGGCCGCTGCGGGCGGCGCGGCGGCCTGCTGCTCCTGGCCAGGGTTCGGTGCGCGTCCCGAGAACTCCGGCGACGTAAAGGTTGCAGCCTTGGTCGGCCACAGTGTGGTGGAACGACCTTCGATTGTAGCCCACTCCTCCTTCTCCTCCTCCTCCTCCTCCTCCTCCTCCTTCTCCTCCTGTCCTCCTCCTCCTCCTCCTCCTCCTGTCCTCCTCCTCCTCCTCCTCCTCCTCCTCCTCCTCCGCCTCCCCCGTCATTGGGCCCCGGGGCGATCAAGAAGGGATCTAGGTCTTTGGGCCACGGGGCGATCAAGAAGGGATCCAGGGCGGAGAAGTGGCCCTGGGGAAGGCGTCGGAACCTCTGGGGCCGTGCAGTGGAAGCATCGTAATTATCGTGGATGTCTGGGATCCACCGCCAGCCGCCTGGTCGGGCGAGGTGCGCCGGGCCACGTCGCCGAGCCCGGGCATGGCCCGTCCATGGGCCGGGGTCGGTGTCTGCAGGCCCTCCTGGCCTGGCCAGGGAGGCGCAAGCACGGAGACTGCGCGAAGGAGGGGCCCAGCCAGGCTCGGCGAGGTGGCCGGTGGCCGTCGAACGGCGTGGGGGCCGATGCCCCAGGACACGGCGCAGCGGCTATGGATTTGTAGCTCGGGCCCCAGGGAGGGCCGAACGTGTATCTCGCTAGCCACCGCCACCCAGAAGTCCAGGAAGATCGTCGCCCCCGCCCCTTCCCCCCCCGGATGGTTGGTTGATGTGTTGCAATGCCAGCCTCGGGCTGGTGGGGGCGCCAGGGCAGCGGCCGACCAGGCTCCTCCGGGCGCTGGGAAAGGCGCTCCCCCCTTCCTGCCTCGGGTGTCCAGGGCCCGCGGGCAGTTCGGGAGCTAGCGGGGCCTCTTCGGATTTCACCTGGGGGGGCCAATCCGAGGCCTTCCTGGCGGCCCCAGGGACGCCATCATGGGTCACAAGCAAGCGCAGATGAGCAGCCGCAAGAGCAATCTGCATCGTCTATAAAATGGGCGCCTACGACGATCCACATATGTATATATATATATATATATATATATATATATATTTATATGTATCCACACTGGTGGATTCTTGGCACGTTCGCAACTGACACCGACCTAGGTGCCCTCCCACCTCGTCTCTCCCCCTCTCGTCCCTCCCACTCCCTCGCCGGGAATTCCCAGAGAACTTGGGTGATCCTAGGCATATGAAATTGCTGTCCATCCCTGATGGGGGTGTACTCGATGATGCCAGCGGACTCGGCCCAAGAACGCCCCCAAATGGCACAAGATGGCCTCAAGACGGCCAAAGACGGGACCAAAACCCAACACACATGTTTTCACGCAGGTGTTTCAACGATTTGGGTATGCTCCCACCAGGGGCTCGAAGGAGGCTCAAGAGGGGGAACTCGAACTAGCCTTGGGAATCGTTCCCCCAAAGTTTGCCCAGAGGCCCACAAGACGCCTCCAAAAGTCCCCACGAGGCCACCAAGAGAACCCCTAGGAGACCTCCTAGAGGCTCCCAAGAACAGGAATCCTTCAAGAGGCCCCGAGAAGCATTCAAGAGACCCTGAGAAGCACCGAAAATGCCTTTCACTCAGAACCCAATCACGTTAATGGGCTGGACGGAAGAATTCAAAATCTCACCAGCCCTCTGGGCGTTGGTGGTTTCGTGGGTTCTTCTTCCATCTTCCCTCTTCCTCTTCGGGGAGGGGTTTACCACTGTTCCTTACTAATATACACCCCCTCCCCCACCGGGCCGGCGGCCAACCCGGAACCATCCCCCCAACATCCGTCAAAAGCACAATACAAACCACACTCTGCCTCCACATTTGGAGCATGCGCGGCCAACCCGATGCGAACGTCCCACACCATCCCTGTCAACAAACAATGCAAATTACATTTTGGGACAAAGTCTTGAGTCATGTTCGTGAGGCCCGCGAGCACTTTGTATCGTTTTTGGCAGGGACGGCGGGGGTGTCAGCATATTCCCTGCTGTGCTCAAGGCTACCATCCTGGACAAAAAACAATACAACATGCACTCGCGGCTAATTCTGGCTCATGCGCGGCCATCCCGCGATCACTGTCAAGTGGTTTTTGACAGGGACGGCGGGGGTGGTGTCGCGTGGCCTGCTGTGCGCAGGCCCACCAGACACAATGATGGATATTGGTTTTCGACAAGGATGGCGGGGCCGACATGTTTCCTGATGTGTGCTGTCACGTACGCAGTTGCACCTGACGCACTCTGCACGTGCCCCGAACGTGGCGCACCTGGCGCGGCTGGAGTGTGCGGCACACCTGGCGCACTCGGAGCACGTGGCGCATCTGGCGCACCAGGCGTGCCTGTCACGCTCGGGCCCTAGGGGTGCCTGGCGCGCGTGGCGCCCCTGGCACGCGTGGCGCACCTCGCCCAAGCGTCGCGCACCTGGGGTCGGCTTTGGTTCCCAGTAGCTGCCCATCCAAAAACGACCGCTGAACATGCTCAGGCTTGGGTGTTACTTACGTGTTGGGAGGGCGGGTGGGAGTGAGCTAGACGGCTTGCGGGCGGATGGGTAGCCCCCTCCCCCTACCCCCTCCCCCTGGACATTGGCGGGAGGTTTTGCGAGGGGTTGGAGCGTCCAACATAGCCTCGGTGAAAAAGCCAAACTCATGAATGTTTACAATTACTAAGGTGCTGGCAACATTTTGACCTCCTGGGGGGGGCGCTAATTTACTACGGCCCCTCTTTGGATGAATCTCCCCCGAGATGTCCTCAAGATGATCCCCGGGGCTCCAAAGGGTGCCCCAAGACGCCCCCAAGAGGTGCCCATGAGGCCCAAGATGCCCCCGACAGGCTCCCAAGATGCCCCTAAGAGGCCCCCCAGAGGCACCCAGAACGCTTCAAGAGGCCCCCGGGACTGCCAAGAAACCCCCAAGACGACCAAAGAGGACCCCAATACACTCTCACGAGACATCCGAAGCGACTCCAAGAGGTATCCAAGAAGCCTCTGGCGCTCGCCCACCTCCTCCTCCTCCTCCTCCTCCTCCTCCTCTTTCTCATCCGCCTATTCCTCCTCCTTCCTCCTCCCTTCTCCCCCTCCCCCTCTCCATCCTCCTCCGCCTCCTCCTCCTCGTACCACGTCTTACCAAGCCATTCATTACACTGCATGCTTCTCCACATCGCTGATCAAGGCAACTCGTCGGGGCATCGCTTCTGGATGGGCTGGTCGGGTTACGCGAAACGTCTGTAAAATCTTCTGAGCATCAAGGTGAATGGAGAACTACTTTGGACGAGGAGCCCGGGTGGTCTGTTTCAAACTCGTGGGGATAACGAAACGTCCTCCTGAAAAGGCCGAGCACCTGGGCTCTGTTGGCCCCTCCAAACGCCCTGGGAGGTTCTGGGAGGGCTGCGACACGGCCCCGCCTGGGCCCGAAGATGGCCCCGAAGAGAGCCGCCTCGCAGAGCGCGCGCCCAGAACGCCGCGTAGTCCATCCTCCGATGATCTTCGCATGAGAAGGGCACGGGGGCGGGGGGCGGGTGCGGGGGCGGGAACGCGGAAGGGGGCGGAGACGACGAGGGGAACGCGGAGGCAAATTCTCAGACGGGCGAAGAATGGGAACCGATCTTGCTTAGCAATACTCATACGCACTGCGCGCGAGCACCCGCGGCGGCGGCGGCCAAGTGCCGCCGGCTGTGCACAAAGCCCCGAGTCGTCGTGGGTCCAAGACAAACAAGACATAGCGCGGCGAACCCCTGACCAAGGGCCGTTGTCCTCGCGCGCGGAAGTCAGCTGAGCGAACATTGCGGCGCTGGCTCGTTTGCCGCCCTGCAGCGCGAGATCGAACGGACCACGCGACCTTTGGAGTCGCAGCTCCCAAACCAAGCCAGCGAAACGAAGCAACCAACATACTTTTGCCATCGAGATGCGACGCGCGCGCGTCCCTGGCGACGCGAAACGTGCTCGCGCGACGGAGAACAATACGAAACGACGCGTCACGCACGCAGTCTGTTTGCCGACCTCTGCGAGTAGGTCCTAAACATTCCAACGTGTTTTTTGTTGTATTGGGAAACGCTGCGAAATCAATTCAGAATTCATCCTGCCACAAAACCACCCTGAGGGCTGGATGCGTGGGAAGTGGAAAACCGAGTAGTAGACGAGAGCCTGCCGTGCGTGCCAGATGACCCCAAGGGGCCGTCGAAGAGGCGCAGACCGATGAATCAACGAGGCCCCTCGGCGCCCCCTCTCGGGCACGCGCCAACATGCATTGGGGATCCGTGGATCTGTCGCGTGGCAGCCAGATCCAAGGATCAGGGGCCTTAACCCCCCGAACATGGCGCTGGTGCCGTCCGATTTGGCATGGAAGCGGGGCCCGTCACCCGCGCGCCTGAACCCATGTCTGCCTTTCCTCGGCCCCCTCCCCCTCCACTCCAGGGGTCCTCTGGCGCGACGGGGGTGCCGCAGTCGTGCTCCCCCCCTGCACTGCAAAGGAACATCGCATCCACAGCTGATGGACTGCTGCCCAGGATCCAACAAGGACAAGCTGATGTGGGTATTGTCCCGCCCCTCCGGGGCAAGAGTAACCTCAGATCCACCGGTTCTCGGGGGGTCCTCGGAGTCCTGGGGCCCGACTGAGAAGCGACGGATGCGAACTGAGTCGAAGCAGGGGGAGAACAAATACAACCAAAGCTTCTGGAGATCCGCGCGGGTCGGCGCCGGACCCCCCCTGCCACGGCGCGCGCGGAGTGCGCCGAGGGCAGTGCCAGAGGCCCCGCCACTTGACATAGACTTAAGCACGTGCGCTCGTGTTCGCCCTGGTAGCGTTTTGAACAGCTGCCCGTTAGTCAGTGCGGCTTCCGGCCCATGGAAACAGCCCCAGAACAAATCCGACGAACATGGCCATGGTGTCTTGGCACCATCCAGGAACCATGTTGGGAACATCGGTTCACGGAGGGAGCGTGTTTCACGGGCGCTTGCCTTAGGAACATTCGGCGGCGCGCTTGGGCCCTCCCCCGAACCTTCGACGCCGTCGAACAGAACCAGGGGGACTCCCCTCCCCCTATCCCACCATCCCCTGCACCCCTCCCCCCCCTCCCCCCCCCCGGGCGCCAGCGCGGGCGGCGGCCCGCACCGCAGACGGCGGCGACGCGGCGAACATGACCAGGACGAAGACGACGACGGCAAAAGCACTTGCAATCCTCTGTCCTCGGCCCTGAGCGCCGAAATATTGACGGGCCCGGAGCTCAAATATAAATACTCCAGGTTGCGTCGCGAGCCTCCCGCGGTTTCCGTCGTCGTTGTCGTCGCCGTCGCCGTCGTCGTCGTCGTCGCCCCCGTCGTCGTCGCCGTCGTCGTGGTCGTCGTCGTCGTCGTCGTCATCGTCCACGTCGTCGTCGCAAAGTCGTCGTAGTCGACGTCGAAATGCTCGAAGTCGTCGTGGTCGCAATCACGTCGTCGTCGCCGTCGTCGTCGACATCGCTCGTCGTCGTCGTCGCAATCGTCGTTGTCGTCGCCGTCGTCGCCGTTGTCGTCACGGTCGTCGCAATCGTCGCCGTCGTCGTCGGCCGTCTTCGTCTTCGTCGTCGTTGTCGTCGTCGTCGTCGTCACCGTGGCCGTCGTCGTCGTCATGCTCGTCGTCGTCGTTGTCGTCGCCGTCGTCGCCGTCGCCGTCGTGGTCGTCGCCGTCGTCGTCGTCGTCACCGTCGTCGTCGCCGTCGTCTTCGTCGTCGCCGTCGTCGCCGTCGCCGTCGTCGTCGTCGTCGCCGTCGTCGTCGTCATGCTCGTCGTCGTTGTGGTCGCCGTCGTCGTCGCCGTCCTCGTCGTCGTGGTCGCCGTCGTAATCGTCCCCGTCGTTGTCGTCGCCGTCGTCGTCGCCGTCGCCGTCGTCGCCGTAGTCGTTCCGTCGTCGTTGTCGCCATCGTTGTCGCCGTCGTCGCCGTTGTCGTCGTCGTATTCGTCGTCGTCGTGGCCGTCGTCGTCATGCTCGTCGCCATCATTGTCGTCGTCGTCGTCGTAGTCGTCGTCGCCGTCGTCGTCGTCGTCGTGGCCGTCGTCGTCGTCATGCTCGTCGTCGTTGCTGTCGTCGTCGTCGGCGTCGTCGTCATGGTCGTCGTCGTCCTCGTCGTCGTCGTCGCCGTCGACGTCGTCGTCGTTGTCTTCGTCGTCGACATCGTCATCGTCATCGTTCTCGTCGTGGTCGTTGTCGCTTTCGCCGTCGTCGTCGTCGTCGCCGTCGTTGTCATCGATGCCGTCAACGCAGCTGTCGTTGTCGTCGTCGTCGTGGTCGTCGCCGTCGTCATCGTCGTGCTCGTCGTCGTCGTCGTGATTGTCGCCGTCGTCTCCGTCGTCGTCACCGTCGCCGTCGTCGTCGTCGTCGTCGCCATCGTCGTCGTCGTGCTCGTCGTCGTCGTCGTCGCCGTCGTCGTCGTCGTCGTCGTGGCCGTCGTCGCCGGCGCGGGCGTTGGCGCTGGCCGGGAGAAAGGTGGGGAGTGGGAGGTTCGAGCCCCCCCTCGCTCCCCGGAATCGTCGCCCTCGTCGACGCTCCCCGCCGCCGCCGCCAGACGCCGCCGGCGCCAGCGCCGGCGCCGGTCCAGGAGGGGGAGCTCCGCCGCCGGCACCGGCGCCGGCCCGGGGGGGGAGGGGTGCAAACCCCTCCCCTCCCTTGGAGAGGGGGGTGGTTCGACCCCCCCCTTGAACCAGGAAGGGCGCTGGTTCCGAACACCCCCGCGCTTCCAAGCGCCCACAGAATTCGCTCTTTCGATTCACGGGGTCACATGCAGGTCATCTTGGGGTCATATTGATTGGTTTGAGGCCACCTTGGGGGTCAATTCGGGGTCGGGGCCAAGGGGTGGTCGATCCAACGCCGATCCAAGAGATCCGACCAGACATCCGAAAAGTTACGTGTTTGCCTTTGGGGGGGAGCAAAAAAAAACAATACCGCGCGGAGCGCGCCAGGGGCGGCGCCGGAGGCGCCTCCGGGGGGGCCCAGCGCGACTCCGAGAAACCCGCGCAGAGCGCCACAAGTCTTCAGTCGGGCGTGTCCCCCTACAGGGGGATTTTCGGCGAAGAACTAAAAATATCAAAAATAAATAATCCAAACATGCTCAAACATAGTCAAAAAATAGTACCCAGACTATGTTTTAAACTATTTTCGAATAGTTATCCCTCCTGTTGAGGGACAGGCCGGACTTAACACAAGTCTATGTTTACGCCGCTTCTTCTCCTTCGGCCAGCGCGGGATCCTGGCACAGGAGCCCCGTCAGCTGCACCGCGCAGGCGGCCGCGGCCACGAATGCCAGGGCGGCGCCCAGGGCGACGGGCGCGCCGCCCGCGGCGCGCGGCGGCGCGCCGCCGGCGAGGGCCACGGGGCCTGTCTCGGGGGGAAGCCGAACACCCGAGCTCGGCGCGCAGAAGATCGACGCCGGGCAGGCAAGAGGCCCAAAAACACACAAAGAAATACACACAAATCACAGGATTCCGTATATTTTCCAACATGTTTCTGGGAGTCGACGATTAATTGTCTGTGTGTTTCTTCCCTCCTGAACAATGAAGGCTTCACTGAGTGATGAACGGAATGAAGGGTGGAAAACATATGGTGTATCTCTGTGGGTGGTGGTAGGCTTATGGTGCTCACCTTTGGTTTTGGAAGGGCCATTGGTGCCCCTCAGTGACCCCGTCCGTCCCGTCCACACGGACTTCGCACCCCCCCTGTCGCACAGGCGTCGCTTCATCCTGTCGGGCGGATGGTAATGGAGAGTGTCCCAAAGAGGGGTCGAGAAAATTATCCTGGCAAAGCAACCTAACAGCGATGTGTATAAGCATATCTGAAAGCATTCCCCAGTTGTAGAATTCTGCTGCTCTCGCAGTCGCAGTCTCATTCGCAATGACAGTCGCAGTGGCAACGGCCTTGGGATCCAATGGAATCCTCAGGATTCCTAGGATTCCTTAGGCATCCTTAGGCATCCTTAGGAATCCATAGGGATCCTTAGGAATCCTGATTCCTAGGAATTCCTGGGGATTCCGAAGGAACCCTAGGGAATCCTAAGGATTCCTGAGGATGCTAAACTAGGCCTACGGATTCCTAAGGATGCCTACGGATTCCTAAGGGTTCCTAGGGATTCCTAAGGATTCCTATGTATTCCTACGGATGCCTCAGCCTGCCTCAGTTTCAGCCTCAGCCTCAGCCTGCCTCGGCTTGCCTCAGCCTCAGCCTCAGCCTGCCTCGGCCTCAGCCTCAGCCTGCCTCAGCCTCAGCCTCAGCCCCAGCCTGCCTCGGACTCAGCCTCAGCCTGCCTCAGCCTCAGCCTGCCTCAGCCTCAGCCTCAGACTGTCTCAGCCTCAGCCTGCCTCAGCATCAGCCTCAGCATCAGCCTCAGCCTGCCTCGGCTTGCCTCGGCCTCAGCCTCAGCCTGCCTCGGCCTCAGCCTCAGCCTCAGCCTCAGCCTGCCTCAGCCTCAGCCTCAGCCTGCCTCAGCCTCAGCCTGCATCAGCCTCAGCCTCAGCCTGCCTCAGACGCAGCTTGCCTCAGCCTCAGCCTCAGCTTGCCTCGGCTTGCCTCAGCCTCAGCCTCAGCCTGCCTCAGCCTCAGCCTCAGCCTCAGCCTGCCTCAGCCTCAGCGTCAGCCTCTCAGCCTCAGCCTGCATCAACCTCAGCCTCAGCCTCAGCCTGCCTCAGCCTCAGACTGTCTCAGCCTCAGCCTGCCTCAGTCTCAGCCTCAGCCTGCCTCGGCCTCAGCCTGCGTCAGCGTCAGCCTCAGCCTGCCTCAGCCTCAGCCTGCATCAGCCGCAGCCTCAGCTTGCCTCGGCGTGCCTCATCCTGTCTCAGCCTGCCTCGGCCTCAGCCTGCCTCGGCCTCAGCGGGCCTCAGCTCAGGCATTCAAAATATGGCACAGGACTTGTGTTCTGGGAGCATGAAGATCACGAAGTGGCCCACAGTTGGCTCCGGGCAATCAAAATATGGTGCAAGAGTGGTGTTCTGGGAGCACGAAGAACACGAAGTGTCCTACAGTTGGCTCCGGGCATTCAAAACGTGGCCTGGGAATTGCGTTCTGGGAACACGAAGAACACGAAGTGGCCTACAGTTGGCTCCAGGCATTCAAAATGTGGCCTGGGAATTGTGTTCTGGGAGCGCGAAGAACACGAAGTGGCCTACAGTTGGCTCCGGGCATTCAAAATGTGGCCTGGGAATGGTGTTCTGGGAACACGAAGAACACGAAGTGGCCTACAGTTGGCTCCGGGCATTCAAAATGTGGCCTGGGAATGGTGTTCTGGGAACACGAAGAACACGAAGTGGCCTACAGTTGGCTCAGGGCATTCAACATGTGGCCTGGGAATGGTGTTCTGGGTATGGATTCCCAAAGATTCCTAAAGATTCCTGGAACTGACTCTTTTGTCCGGCTTTCTCCAGATCCCACCCAAACCCTCTGGGGCGTCAAGATGCTCTCTTTTGAGCCCACTAGAAACCTATCAGCAAAAGCTGTTAGGTAAAAAGCCTTAAATCGGCGGTGGACACACTTCCCTTCAATAAACCTGCCGTGGAAGAAAACGGCCTGGCACCTAAAGCGACGGACCTGGACCCGCAAAAACGACGGCCGCGACGCCCTTTCGCGAACCGAAAACTGCCAATTCGCCAATCGACGTGTCAGGGTAGGAGGTCCATCAACCTCCGGCAAATCGGGTTGGAGAAAAAGAGCCCTCAAGGAGCCCTGTTGGGCCCCTTTTGGAGCCAGCGGCTGGTGTACAGATGGGGCCTGACAAGCCCCCTAAGGGCCTACTTCTTCACCCCCGAATTGGGCCCTTCCCGTTACCACCCGCCCGATCCGGTTGAATCCTGTACAATCCGGTTTTGAATCGGGGTTGATCTCGGGCCAATTCGGCCCGATGGCTCCCCCATCCGGCTCAACACCCAGTGCCCCTCGAACCGTTCTCGCGAAGGCCTCCCAAGAACACGGCAGCATTCGGCAGCAACGCCTGGAAACCTTGTCTGTCCTCGGCATCCCGTCGTTCGAATTCTGTCGCAAATCGGGGGGGGCCCCCCTCGGCGCTCCCAGGGAACACTCGCCGCCGGCGCCGCGGGGGGGCGCACCGCGGCGCGTTGCCGCCGCACCACGGCGTCGACGCCGCCGGTGCCGTTCGGCGTTAAGGCGAGGCCACGGGGAGGATCAAGGTCAGGGGGCGGTCGGGGAACGAGCGGGGTCGAGGATCGAGAAGGACTGAAGGTCTAAGGTGTAAGGGGGATCATCGAGGGGGCGAGCTGGGGATCGAGGGGCATCGAAGCCACGACGGGGACAAAGTCGGACAGGGACTAACCGGGGATCGCAGAAAACTCTCGCAGCGACGCTGATCGACGCTAGCCGACGCTTCCTCGGCCATTAGCGTAGATCAATAGACGCAAGCGCATGCTAATGCACTCTGAAGACGGGATGTCGATGACATAGAAGGCTCCGATGCTTCGCTACCGGAAGATGCCATGTTCTTGGGAGGCCTTCGTAAAATCAATTCGAGGGGCGTTGAGCCCGATGGGGGAGCCATCACCCCGAATTAGCCTGAGATCAACCCCGATTAAACACCGGATTGAGCGGGAGTCAGCCTAGACCAAGCGGGATCGAGCCTGGCACGCAGAAGAGATCATACGTCATCTCAGGAGACAGCTCCTGGGAGGCCAGGTCACGCCAGCTTCGCGCCCCAGACACCACGATCCCCTGTAAATGCCGTCGCGACTGCGGGCCGCCCTCGCTTGAGGTTCTGGTCTTTTGCTTCAAGTCGGCGCCCAAGCCACCAAACTGAGCTCTGGCATATCCCATTATGATCCGACGCCGTGCCCCGAGGCACGATCTGGTGCCCAGAGGTAGAGGTTGCAAAGAGGTAGGCGTGCTGGTGGCCTTGCCTCTGCCAGCGCGCCACTGGCGCGTAGCCCTTGATTAATCAAATAATTAAGCCGAGAGGGGCCGCAGGGGGGCAGCCGGTCAGGCAGGCGGCTCGGGCTCTCTTGGGCGCGCGCTCTCGCGCGCTCCCAGGCGCTCCTGGGAGGTCCCCGCGTGACTTTTCGAGATGCCAAGAGAGCGTTGTTCGGGACATGCGTGTCCACCATGGTTTCAGACGGATCGTCCTGGAGCCCTCTTAAGCACACCTTGGGCCTTTGGGAGGCTCTGGAGGGCGGCCCAAGAGGCCGAGATCGTCAAAATCCGTGGGTTTCTGTATGGTCCTTGCATTACCGCCTTTCGGTCCTCGGAGCGTCCAATACGGCCTAAGAGGCGGCCAAGATCGCCCCGAAACGGCCAAAGAGCTCCCGAGAGGGGCCCAAGAGGTCCCCAAGACGGCCCTACGAGGGGCCCAAGATGAGGAACACGAGCTGACATTTTGACCCCTCAGCCCAAAGATGGCCGCCCGAGGTGCGCCCAAGAGGTCCAAAGAGGCCCCGAGAGGCCCAAATCAGACCCCAAAAGGCCCCCAAGACGCCCCAAAGGCATCCGAGAGGTCTCCTAAGAGATCCTCACAATCATGTAGGGTGCCTCTGACCTACAACCCAGGCGCGATGGCGGGATGGACCGAAGACCACTAGATCCGCCGCCCCTGCGGTCTTGCCACACGGGTGCGCGTCGTGCTGGATGTCCGGGATGTTCTTTGTTCTTTTCTAAACTGAGCTCCCCCTGGGGCTTCGGCACAACCCGCCGGCCACCCGAAAAGCTTGACCAGAGCCGGGATGCAATTCATTTTCTGCCCGCGATGGCCCCAAGGCGGCCCGAGATGGCTTCCAAGACGGTCCCAAGACGTCTCCGAGACGGCCGCACGATGGCCCCAGGAGAGCCCAAGAGGGCCCCCAACATGCACCCAGAACAGCCCAGCATGCACCCAAGACGGCCCAAAATGGCCTCAAGATGTCCCAAGACTGCCAAAAAGGCCCACGAGAGGCCCCCAAGACGGCCCACGAGGGCTCTAAGAGGTCCTCCGGGAAAGCCCGAAGAGGCCAATTTCATTGCGTCCGTAGGTTATTCAAGGATTTGGGCATTTGCTTCTTTTAGGGCTTCCGACGGCCCAAGACGGCTCAAGAGGCTCCAAAGACCGCCGCCAAAGCGTCCAGGCCTCCAAGATGGCCCCGTGACGGTCCAGGAGGCCCCCAAGACAGCCCCAAGCGGGCCCCAAGACGGCCCAAGAGGCATCGCCCCAAGACGGGCCCGAGAGGCCCCCAAGATAGCTTCCGACGGCGTCAGACGGGCCAGGAACAGCCTAAAACAGCCAAAGAGACACCCAAAAAGCTCCCAAAGGCCCCCAAGGGCCCAAGGAGGCCGCCAAGAGGCCTCAAAGATGCCTCTAGGAAGCTCCCAGACGGCCCCAAGAATGCCCCAACCCCTCCTCCTCCTCCTGCTCCTCC